TAGGTTTAGGATTAGGTTTAGGGGGGTTAGGTTTAGGTTTAGGATTAGGTTTAGGGGGGTAAGGTTTAGGTGTTAATTTTAGGTTTAGTGTTTACAGCGTGCTTCTGTCTTCGCGCTGTTGTTGCGCTGTTGATGACGTCAGCTACGCGGTTTAGTCGAGCGCGGTTTAGTCGAACGCGGTTTTGTGGTGGAACCGGAAGGCATAGATAGATAGATGATTGATAGATGATAGAAGATAGACAGACAGATAAGAGATATATCATAGCTGATGAATAGGTGAGATAGCTGATAGATGAACGGATAAATGGATGGCTGAGTGGGTGGGTGGATGGACAGGTGGGTATATAAAATGAGGATTGGAATTTAGTCAATTGACTGAAGTATCAATTTACCACTCATGAGGATCAAATCATTTTTTTGGGGGGGGGATGTTGGTCTGTTTTTAGGAGGAGCGGATTCTTTTCCAGTTGGACGAAGCCATTGAAGCTCTGGATGCTGCCATAGAATATAAGAACGAGTCCATTACTTGCAGACAGCGAGTTCTGAGATCCTCAGCCAGCCTTCTTTCCCAATGTGAGATGAACCTTATGGCAAAGCTCAGCTACCTCTCTTCCTCCGAGACCCGGGCACTGCTTTGCAAATACTTTGATAAGGTAGGCATCCAATAATGTGTGGCTCAGAAGTACGTCAGAGATACTGTAGACTTCTCTCTTTGCATGTCATTTTACCTTGTTGAGAAATTAATTGGCTTTGTAGAACGTTTAGCTAATTAAATCATTGTGTATCTGTGCCAGAGTTCCAAGAGATCCCTTATGCCCTAATTAAATCATGAGCCTCAAGCCAAGCTTCAAAAGAAATCCAGTTATTTATTAGGAGCATGTCGGCACATACCCAAGTGAAACCAGCTCTGACCCCATGTAATTTACAGCCCAATTATGACCCTTTCCCTCCTCCCCCTGGGTGTGTCATAAATCACATTCTCCAACCGGAGCACTCCAGGGCTGTAGAGATCACTTCCCCTCCGACTGCTGTGGGTAACCTGGGAGACAGCCTTGAGAAAGATATGCCTGGAATGTGCTTCTGTTTATGGCTGCCATGCTGCTTCGTCAGTTTCCCATCCCTCTTGCCTATGGCAACTCAAGAGCAGTCCAGGGATGCTTTGCAAATTGACAACCTGTTCAGTTCTGCGTTAACTGTTGTAGAGTTTGGCCTCATGAAACTGCCTGTTGCCTTTGTCATAACCCCTGTGAGTTGAAATCTTCCAAACATCCCTGTAATGATCAGGTGGTGACCTTGCGAGAAGACCAGCACAAACAGAGTGTGGCATTTTCCGAACTGGAAATGCAGCTGGAAGAGCAGCTACAGCTGGTGTTTTGGTTGGAGGTGGCCCTGGAACGTCAGCGCTTGGAGATGGACCGTCAGCTGACCTTGCAACAGAAGGAACACGAGCAGGACGTTCAGCTCCTACTCCAGCAGAGTCGGGGTAATAATAGGACTGAGGAGAGATCCTGGTCTGTTAAATCTGTATTTGATCACTGGTGGCACTGCCTCTCCTAAAAACACACTATATAATAATAATAATAGTTCTAGTTGGAGCTGTAAGGAAGATGGAGACATCTGTGGTGGCCATGCCCTAATTAACCATTCTGCTTTGGAGACTTCTTGAATTGGGAAAAATCGCCTCCTTCTCATCTGAAATGAACCCTGCCAATGGTTTATCATCCGTATTTCTTAAGGCATATAAACTGATGCCACATAAGAAACGGATTCCATTCTTGTCTCCTGCCGATTTGGAAACCTGAAAGGCCTCTTCCATTGAATCTGTAGAATCGTATTTAGCTGAAAAACCGACACAACAGCAGAGGTCTTTGAATAACCTCACAATGAATGGTAAAGTTAAGCCTCTAATCAAAATTGGACTTTAGGGGAATATATGGACCCAACCATCTCAGATAGCAGTGAGGGAGAGCTTGTCATTTCTCTCTTCTGCAGTGATTTTTCTCCAACTTTGCAAATAAATCTTTAGCTCTGTTTTCTTGTGCTCCCCCCATTTAAGTACCTCCAATCTTGCTGAGCACTTTTAAAAGATCAGTCAGGTCAACTAAAGTGCTACTCTCTACTGTGACGTAAGAATAAGCTCATTATTTTTTAGCTGTTCTTACATTCTATTGCATATAGAAATGTATGTTTATCCTTAAGATAAAACGTATTCATATGCACACACTTGAAGTTTCCTTTTGTGTTCCTTCAGCTATTGCTTTATAATTTTGTGATTTTTTTTTTAAAAAAGGGTTGTTGTCTCTGTTACTGCGCAAGTAATTTGTCCACGGTTTGTCCCCATCTCTTGTGTTTTTAACAAGATTTTATTTTCTTCGTCGTTTTGCAGAACATATCGAAGAAGGACAGGCAAACAGCAGGCTTCAGTATGAACAAAAGATCCAGACGCTGGAAAAGGAATTGGCTCATTACAAATGGCTAAACGAGGAATTAAGCCAAAAGTTAAAGCAGCCGGAGGGACACGGCGGAGGTAAGGCCAGGTTTCTGGCGTGGTAAATTTTGCCTTTGCTTTTCTGCTGGTTGGAGAGGACTGAGGAAATGGCCTTGAGGACAAGAGGAAATGCTCAGCTAAGAGAGGGCAGGAAGACAACCTGATAAAATGGAATGAATGAATGAGTTAGGGGGAAAGAGAGGAAGAGATATTGCCTAGGAAACTACCAGGCAAGATACAGGAATCTGCAGCTGTTTAATGGTCAGAGAAAGAAACTTCGGAAAGAGCAAGGCATTAAAAGGAGATGGGAAATGTGCTCTCAAGACTTGCAAGGTTCTGTTAGTGTAGACTTGCAGTAAAGTAGAATTAGTTCATCTAGTCATGCTCCCAAATGGGAACAGCATGCATCTGGACTCAGGGCCCCTACCAAGAGGCATCTTGGCAAAGGAGCCATGGCACCAACTATGCCTGGCAATGCTGTCTTAGAAGAACTAGGAGCTAAACACGCAGGTTGCACTGCATAAAGTTCCCAGCACTATGGGGGTATCATGTCTGAATACATGGATCCTGTTGGTCTTTGTCCTTATTAGCATGGCTTGTTTGAACATTGCTTCCCTAGTTGATATAATGCGCCTCCTAGGTACATCGCTCAAGTACCATATTTTTTGGACTATAAGATGCACTGGAGTATAAGACGCATCAAGATTTCAAAGAGGAAAACAAGAAAAAAATGGTCCCCTGCCCTGGTCCCCAGGAGCACTCTGCAGGCCTCCCAAAACCTCTGTGCACCCCATTTTTTGCTAAAAACAGGCCTGTTTTCGGCCTCCCAAACCCCCCACATCTCATTTTTCCCTCCCCAGTCCCCAGGAACACTCTGCAGGCATCTCAAAGCCTGTACATGGCCCATTTTTGCAAAAAAATGGGCCTGTTTTTACCGAAAACGGGAGCCGTGGGGCGGGGCCTTGAAAGGCCAAAAATGGCCGTATTCAGTGTATAAGACGCACCCCTCCTTTTAAAGGGGAAAATGTGCATCTTATACTCCGAAAAGTACAGTATATTCAAAATGGCTCTACTGCATGCAAAGCAGCTGACTTTGTGAAACCCAAACCACAGCTTTGAACATTACCTGCCACTTGCCTAATTGATATGATCCTAAATAGATCAACCATGTTGTTCTATTTTTTATTTGTCTTAACGACCCCATAATCCCTTGCGGGGTGGGCCAACTGAATGGTGCTAGAATATTTACTGGCTGGATGCCATTCCTGTCACCAATGCGGAGTTCATAGAGGTAGCCTCATTGTGCCCAGAGAAAGAAATATTTGCCTCTACCTAAGATTGAACTCGCAGCCCCCTGATTCTGAGGCGAGAGCTCCCCCTCTAGGCCACCGCACCACTCCAACCATGTTGTTCTATCCCTCTCACTAAAAGATTCTTTTCTCGCGACAGGTATGGAGAGGAGCATCTTTGCAGTTGGGGACAGACCCAGTTCGCTCAGCACACATGAAGATTTTACCAAAAAAAGCCAGCTGGAACCATCCTTGCAGCTGGAGCCCTCAGAAAGGAATCAAAGAAAGAGAGAGGACTTAGTGCATACGCCGTTACCATCCACCTGGAGGCGCTGCTCACTGTCTAGTGCCAATAACTTGATAGTGGAAGATTTTCGTCAAATGGAGATAGATTTTCTCCTAAGATCTAACCAAGCCAAGGATATCCCTTTGCATCCCAGATCCCGCAAAGAGTTGCACCGGGCCAGCCAGAACTCCATCCCTGGGTTGTCTTATCCAGAAATCATTGACGTTAGAAAAAATCCACTCTAGTTCTGAGATGTTGACTGTTCCATCTAAAATAAGCTAATAAGCGCCTTCTGAAGATAACTGCGCATAAATTACCAAAAAGGCAGTAGGTGGGTTCATCCATTATGCAAAATCTGAAGAAACGATAGCTCGGATTAACGAAAGGATACATGATAGCCACCTTGTATCTGAAGGACTGTCCCATAGGTGTGGCAGAATTGCTCCAGAAGACAGAACAAGAAATCATAGATCAGGAGTGTTCAACTTTGGCAACTTTTAAGACTTGTAGACTTCAACTCCCAGAATTCCCCAGCTGGCCATGGGAATTGGAAGTTCACAAGTCTTAAAATTGTCAACGTTGAACACCTCTGCCTTAGATTTTTTTCATTGTTGCTTTCCTAATGATAGAAAATGTCCAATCATGGAAAAGTTGGTGGTCTCCTTCGATGGAGATCTTCAAACAGAGGCCAGATAGCGGTCTTACCGGAAACCACTATACTGGTGAATCAGAGAGATGATGAGTAGATCCCTTCCAGCATGTACAATCTCCAGATTGTATAAATCGCATTCTGCTTTAGTGTAATGGATGAACCCAGTCGAATGTCGCAGATCTTTTTTTACCTGGGCTTCACTGGCTTTGTTACTTTTGTATAGTTGCCTTTTACAACAACAAAACTGGCTGTTTCCATCAAATCTGGATTTCCCATAACGAATGCCGTTCAAATAAAGAGACAGTAAATTTGATCTCTTTGCAAATATGTACACATATTTGAAGTAGCTTCTTGGGCTGTACTTTCAATAAACTACCGTAGCTTTTTGTAAATCTGTCTACAGTTTGCCCTTGAGAACGTTTGATCATAAACGTGGCTAAAGGGGTGTTTGACTTTTCTTTCCCTCCAGTTAACAGCTAACAGGTTCAGGATTAGGGTGGTTGAGTCAAAGTTAGAGCCTTGGAATAATTAAGCATGAAACCTAAGATATGCTAAACCTTTAGCGGCTATTTGAAAAATCGATTTGTCAAAAGAAATTAATTTATTTTACAAAAGAACAATTTAAAAGTGGTTGCTTTCACTGCTCTCGGTTCTGGACATTCCTCTTAAAACCTTGCAAAGGCCGTACAGTGGCACAGCCCTTACTTTAAAAAAAAACCTATAAAAATACAGCAGGGGTCTCCAAGCTTGGGCCCTTTAAGACTTGTAGACTTCAACTCCCAGAATTCTGGGAATTGAAGTCCACACGTCTTAAAGAGTCCAAGCTTGGAGACCCCTGAAACACAGAATTGATTTCTGCTCTTCTTGGAACTCAGCAATGAGTCACTGTCAGCCACACACAAGCAATCACTTTTGGTGACTGAACCCTGATTTGGATTGCAAAGTTTGTCACAAAGAGGTTGAAGACCTGGCTCCAAAATATTCCCACCGGTCATCTCGTTTCAGGAGAGTGGCCTTTTCCGTGAGTAAGTCCTGGTAATGGACCTCTTTCTGGATGGCGTGCTGCGGAAAAGAGAGAAGTCCTCGTATGCAGCTCCAAATGTATCCGGGTCTTCCCCTATAGGAGAAAATAGATGTGAAAGATCCTTACGGAACACCATTAAGAACAGAAATGGGGGCACTCACAATTTGTTTAAAGGGTGTGTACAACTTTCTAGCTTTCTTAAGGGGATGTCTTTTCCAATCATCATCTCTTTTTAATGATCCCATATAATCCCTTGTGGGGTGGAGCCTGGGCAACTGAATGGAGCTGAGTGTTTAATGGCCAGATGCCCTTCCTGTTGCCAATGCAGAGTTTTTTTCAGCAGATATATTCTCATTATGTGCAGAGAGAAATATCAGCCTCTACGTAGGATCTAACTCACAGCCTCCTGATTGTGAGGCGAGAGCTCCACCTCTAGGCTACCGCCCCACTCAAAGGAATGTCTTTTCAAATGAAAGATGAACAAGAGTTTGCTGTCATCTAGGTTAGTATGGAAAAGAGGGAAAGGAATCGGCATCCTTCCCCTTTATCGATCCTAATTTGGCTACACAGGTAGTGACCAGTTGCTTAGCGAGCTTCTGAAGTTATGCTGGACCTCCTCAAAAAGTACTTAAGACCTGGTTTTGAAGTTCTCATACAGTTTTCCCTCCCCCAGTCCTGTGGCCGCTTTTGGGCACTCGGCAACAGCAACTCCTCTCCTTCCACACCTCTCTTTCCTATCATTTTCACATCTCGTGTTTTAAAACCACGTTCAGAGAGAGCAGGGGCCTTTACCGGTCTTGGAAAAACCCTCTCTCGGCTCAAAAGAAAGCAGAGACGTTTTCAAATAAGCAAGCCTCTGGTTGATTTTGGGAGGGCACTGGGAAATTGCACCCTCACAATAATGTGGAAATTTAGCTCCCTTGAAATATTGTTACTCATTATTACATCAAGGGTTTGAAATGCAAATTGGCATACCTTTTGGGCACTTCTTCTGGGTTGCAGGAGGGCCCTTGTAGAGGAGCGGGGACTGTTCCAGGGCCCAAAGGCCACTAGCAGAGATCATGCTGTTTCCTGAAGATTTGGGTGGAGTCGTATCTGGAGCTGGGAAAACAAGTTTCAACTTAATTGAAGAAAATGGCATCTAACACTGGAGGAAAAATCTGAGCTCTACAGGAGAGATAAACAGCTTTCAGGGAGTCTACTGGCCGTAAGTAGAAAATAAAGCAAGGTATCAATAGCTCTGTATAGGTTTATCCTGGTAAGCTCACTAAAATTAAAGATCAAGATCCAGACTCAAGCCCTTTCTCATGACATCAACAAGCCACAAAAGAAATTAACCAAGGTCTGAGAGAGTCTGAACAGCCACCTGCTTGGAAATGCTTTAATTTGGGTTCCTGCAACTAAGGTTTGTACTCTTAACTAGACTTCTATGAAAAGGTTTGGCACAGGTCCAACCTTTCAGACCTCAGGGACCACCACTAAATTCATAATTTTAAATCCCGCAGACCACTAATATGATCTGCCTAATGACTGGCTGGATGGGCGTGGCTAGGTGGTCATGTGATTACTCGCCCCTCTCCTGCCAGCCATTCCTCGCCTGCCCACCTGGACTCCTTAGGGCTCCAAAAGGAAGCAGTTGTTGGAGCTAAGTAGCCACCAGGAGAAAGAGTTGGCAAAGCAGCTCAGTTCAAATTGGATCTGACCGAGGAGGAAGCTCAGCAGAAGCACCTGACTGAGGACTATGAGCATAGGCTTTCCACGCAGAGGGAAGACCCGTGGGAGTGCAAGGCCAGGTACCGGCGGCTGGAGGCTCAGAGGGCTGAGATGGTCAGCCAGTTCCAGGCCTTGATGCAGCCCCACTGGAACGAGGCCCTCCGGCTCTTTGCCACCAGCGGCGCTTCCCTCCAGCCTTCGCCCAAAGCCCAGCACCAGGAGGCTGAAGCAGACCCCAAGTCGGAATTTCTGTCCCCCTCCGACCCACACAAAAAGACCCTGAAGGAGACTCTCTGCAGCAACAAAACGTTCATTGCATGAATCCGGCCCAGGGGGTGTAGTTTGAGGACCCCACATTTAGTGCAATATAAAAAAATGCAAATAATTTTTCTGCGGACCACCAAAATTTTCTCGCAGACCACCAGTTGGTGACCGCTGGTCTGGCAGATGGGACTTATCTAATAGCTGCCTTGACAAGACAACAGTAAGGACGATCAGCCCCCAAAGTACCTGAGAAGTTGAAGATGTCCTCCAAGATTGTCGACTTTGAGGATACGGGCTGTTCTCCTGTACTCAGCAGTTCGGTTGAGTAGGCAGCTGCTCCGGGGCTCTCTTTTATTAGGCATGGCCTTTTCGTTTCCTGGCTGGCCTCCTCACCCCATGCTCTCTTCTCCTGAGCCCTTTTTCTAGACTCTAGCACCAGAGTGTCTCTGTAGATGTTCTCATCCTTATGGCCTTCTGTATCGCTGCCAAGGGACGGATCTTGAAGCTTGTCAATTCCGTCAAGTTCCGGGTCTCCCAGGAGCCGAACCTTTCGGCTACTCAAGAGTTCGAACGCTTCCTTGCCCCCAGGAGGTGGGGCTGCCTCTTCCCCAACGGCTTCGGCCGGCCTTTCGCTTCTGCTGCAGCCCACCGCGGCCCTTTTCCTTCGTGGCCAATCTTTGATGGCCTCGGGGGTTACCTTCCCTTTACGTTTGGGAGACGGGGTCCAAGGGACGCCAGCGCTGCCCTGGGAGGGGGAAGTTGTAGAGGAGGTACAGGGGGAATAGGAATGGCATATGTAAGTCTGCCCGCCCATCCCAAACTTCCCAGGGGTGTTGTGGGCGGAGCGAATGCAGGACGGCGAGATGGAGACGGGTTCCAATTTCTCCGGGTGCTTACTGCACCAGGCCACTGAAACATCCCCCACAGCGCGATCATTTTCCTCCCCCTTGAGTTTGTCGCACAAATCGAGAGGCCGCTGCATGGCCTTGGAAGCGACTTTCCTGATACGGAGCTTCGGCAGGCCGGAAGCTTGCATTTCAAGCTCGACCTCATAGGTCAGCGGCGTAGCTGTGGCCCCGAGAGCTTTAGAGCTGGCCGTCTTCTCCTCCTTCTCCAGCCGTGCGGCAGCTTCCCGTTGCCTTCTGTCGGCAGTGCAGCGCAACGCGTAAGCACCAGATCCGGGCTTTGAGATTGCAAGCGGGGAGTCCCGCTCTTGTCTGGGAGGACTTGAGAAGAGCGGAGGGGGCCCACCCGCAGAGTCCTCTTCTGAAGAAATGCTACTGCTACAGCCCGGATCGACAAGAGAACCATCTGAAAGAGACTTGCTGAGTTCCAGTTTTTCGCACAATACTACAGCATGCGTAAAGCGCATGGGGTTATTGGAAGGGGACAGGCATCTCTCTAAACCTTTCCTCTTACTCGGACTTATTATTTTACTTATTGGTTCAGGTCTCTGATCCAATGAAGCGTCCTCTTCTGGTTTAATGAATGGGCTGGTCTCAGCAACAAGACTTCTGCTGCCCTTAGAGGGATGCTCCTCTCTGGGCAAGGAAGGAGGGGAGCCGAGGGCTTTTATGGGGGAGGTCTTTCTGACACTCTGTGTTTCTTGGGGACTACAAGAGTTTCTTCCTAGCTTTTCCCCAGTTGGAGAGAGCGTGCAAGGGCTCGCAGCTTTTGCAGACCCATTACAGGACGGAGAGATGCCATCAAACTGGAAAGCCGAACGAATCTCCAAAGCGGATTCAGAAACAGTCCTAATGTTTGGACTCTTCTGAATGTGTGTCAAACCCAGTTCTGGGTGTGTGTCTTTGAAAGCTGCAGATGATGCTTCTGGCAACAGAGGGGGGAAGTCCACAGATGAGACTGGCTCAGGACAGGTATTCCTTCGCGACTCAAAAGTCCAGTTCTCAGAGCAAACTGTAGGGATTCTGTGGGGGGCGATTCTCAAGGAATGCTTGGAGGACTGCAGTTCTGAGCACGATTTCCCCCGAAGGACAAATGGGGATGAAGGAGGCGACAGGGCGATGGGTGAATCGGGACCCTCCGCAGGCAAAGCGAACACATCATCCAGCATGTCAGAGAGCGGTGCCTTCTCTGGGGTTTGGAGTCCTGCTGCTTTGGGTGAGGAAGGACGCCCATTTTTCTTCTCGGCAATCCAAGGCAGGCAGGGTTCCTGATTTCCAGTGGATGCAGGTAAGGACTTGCTCTTCTGCCTCGGAGGGGAGAAAAGATTTCCCAAACATTTGGCCACCGAGTTTTTAAGGGCTGGAGTTTTCTGGGGAGTCCGCCGTGCCTTTTCTTGAATCCGAGGAGATCTTCTCAGCGTGCTTAAATCTTTGGGATTTAAGAGCTCCTGGGAAGACTGAAAAGAACTCTTCCCGGGTGCCTGTGAAAGAAGCATGGGAGAAGATCAGAGATACAGAGAGAAGAACAGGATGAGCTGTGCACTTTTTGAAGCATGAAGATAGCAATAGCAATAGCACTTAGACTTACATACCACTTCACAGTGCTTTTACAGCCTTCTCTAAGAGGTTTACAGAGTCAGCCCTATTGCCCCCAACAATCTGGGTCATTTTACCCACCTCGGAAGGATGGAAGGCTGAGTCAACCTTGAGCCCGGTGACATTTGAACTGCCCAATTGCAGGCAGGCGGCAGGCAGCAGAAATAGCCTGCAGTACTGCACTCTAACACTGTGCCACTGCAGCTCAGTGTTTTCAAGAAATGTTGAAAACAAAGATCTTAGCAGAATTGCGGTGTGTAATAATTGTTTTGTAGAATAGCTGCAGTTCATATAACAACCCGCTTTAAAAAGGGCATCTATGAACAGCAATTTCATATCATTGAATCCTAATACATTTTAGATAAATGCCCAATGAAGAATATATTACCTATCAGTAGGCTGAGGTCATTTTTAAGTGTACAATTGCCAAGCAGATGCCTCACAAATGGTTAAACTACAGTTTAGATCCAAGAACTTTTAAAAAGAGCAAAGAAACTGGGAAAAACAGTGTTAGTGATCACCCAGAATTGCTTTTGGTGAAATGAGCATACATTTGATTAATATTTTTTAAAAAAATAAAGATAAACAATAAAAAAATAGAAAGATGGCAAGTCTACCTGAGGAACAGGCTCATCAAAGGTGAGTTGTTTTCTTCTCGTTTGGGGACAGCTTGTTCTCCCCAAACTAAATCCGCCCCAAACTTCTCCAAAAAGTATACTCTTTGGAGATTGGGGGGCTTTTGCGGGAGGTGAAGCCAGACCTGTGGATAAAAATCCAAGTTTAGACAAGCTTAAGCTAAATGCATTTGTAAGTTTACAGGAGAAACTCTACCTAGGATTACCATTTATCGTGATAAATCAAAATGAAAACCCCATGTCCTTCTAGATACTACTGAACTACACCTCCTGGCATCATTTACCCAACTTAGTCATTGATGAGGGATGCTGAGAATTTCAGGGAAATAATATCTGGAAGGTTGGAGGTTATCTGCTCTGTATTAGCAAATAGGAAAGTCTTTGGTTTTGATTTAAATCAGTGATTTAACCCG